TGCTCATTTACTGACTGTTCGAAGTTATAATGGCGCTGAAAAAAGTGACATATGACCGTTTTTCACATTTATGACCAAGTGTGCGGTGTCCCCATGGTCACATGATGAAAATTCAGATGCTTGGCAACTGGTTCATATTTATGACAATTGACATATGTCCTGGGTCATGTGATCACCTCTTTGCTTGACCTTCTGACAAGCAAATGGGGAAGGCAGATTCACTTAACAACCATGTTACTAACTTAACAATTGCAGTGATTCACTTAAAAACTAGCAAAAAAATTATAATGTGGGGCAAAATTCATTTAACAACTGTCTCACTTAGCAACAGAAATCGAGGACTGTTCTTTAAAATGGGGATACGGAATTACCACCAATTACATATAGGTAATTCCACAGCAATCCAAAATTTATTGTGTAACACATGATTAAGCCTAGGTTTTAACGACTTTATACAAGTATTATCATTTATCAATTGTTTCTGACTCCTATCTCCCACAGATTTTATTGTAATTTAACTTTGAATGTTAATGAAATTGATGATTGAAAATGCATTATTTTCCTAACCCCAATTTTGTTTAAAAATAAATGCAATTTTATTTTCAGGGTGCTCTAATATTTATATAGAATAATAAATTTAATCAGCATAGGTATTTTTTTAAAAAAAAAATAATAATATAGAGAAAAAAATGTTCAGAGCAGTCTATTTTTAAAAAGATGAAAAGCTACAATATAATATAAAGAGAAGGATGTAGAAAATAAGAGGTCCTGATGTGGTGAGTGTAAAGCCCTACCATGAATTATGGACAAATTGAAAACAGGCACAATAATTAGCTGTCATCACAGCATATGGCAGACAGATGAGATATATGCTTTAGTTCTAAAACTGGGTTTATTGCTATTCGACTACCATTCTCTACTCAATTATCTGTCCTTATTGAATTCAGTCAGATTTATTTTTAAGGAGATGCATTAATAAGAGGGTTTACTAATTCTTAGAGACTTCTCCCTAAAATCCCATTATTGGATTCAATTTAATATTCTTAATATTTTATTAATATATAGATTTATTTGTAGCATGCTCATGTTTATTAATGCAAAAGTAGTTATTACTGGTATATTTTAATATTTGCTATTTGTTCCAAAAGGAAATAAATGGTATGTCTACAAAAGTTATACTTGATCTCATTTCTCAATAATTGCCATCAGTACTTTTGAATTGATACTGTTGACATTATACTATAGACAGGTAACCAAAGAAACATGTTATTTCTTTTTAATATGAATTGTGCACTGAGATATAAACCAATCTTAATTCTTTCGGTGGAATCATGAATCAATCATTTTGTCAATTTTTAAAAAATAGTAACTGAATTGATTAGACACATGATCATTTTGGAATGGACATTTGATAAAGTCTGACTCAGTTACATAGACAGCCAGTTCCAACAGGATTCCAGTTAGTTGCTTGTAGGATTGGGAGAGCATTTTAAAATAATCACAGATTTTGAATAAATGTCCTCTAGAACATTGTTTCTTAAACTTTCAAGATCACAGAACATTGAACAATATCTATTTTTATGAAGAATGCTAATGATTGTTTCTATAAAAAAAAGACCAAGACTGAAACAAGCAAAGGTTAATGATGCTTTTTATTTTTTTTTACATTTTATATATCAATTAAAAATCTTAACGAGAGATATGACTTTATTATATATGATAACATTTTTCATTAAAAATAGAATGAGATTTATCTTTAATGATGTCTTTAGAGATAGAAAATATTACTTCTTTAATCTTGATTCTGCTCTTTATTATTTTAATGCTTGAACTTGTTCTGTTCCATTGAAAAGTCTTCTGATAGATGGTATCTTCCACCTGCAAAGCTTGCCAAGATGTTCCAGAATAATTCACCAACATGTTGGAAATGTAAAAAAGTACATGGAACATATTATCATCTATGGTGGACATGCCCAGTTGCAAAAAAATACTGGTCTACAATAAGAAAGTGGATCCAAGAAATAATAGACCAACTTGTAGACTGGAAACCAGAGATCTTTTTGTTGGGTATTTTAAATAGAAAATATAGTAAAGAAATATGGTACTTAATTTTACATATAATAACGGTGGCAAGAATAGCATATGCACAGTGCTGGAAAAATGAGAATATACCATCAGAGGAAGAAGTAATAAGAAAAATCCTGGACTGTGCTGAGATAGACAAATTAACAAAAGAGATAAAAGAAAAGGAAGACACAGAGTATTATATAGTATGGAACAAGGTGTATGTCTGGTTGGAGACTAGAAATAATAGAGGAGAATAAATATGGAAAGGTCAAAAGTGAAAATATGTGTACAATAATGTATAATAATAATAATATGAATTATTCTTAGTAAGAAATAGAACATGAAGGAACAAAAATGTAAATAAGAAATAATGGGGCTATAAGGACAAATATTTAAAGAAGAATAAGGGACAAATGTAAATATTAGGTTACTGTTACGTAATTGCTGTAAAAAAAGGAGGAGTATATATTGTGTGTGTATGTGTGTTATGTTTTGCTTTGTTTTGTTTTGTTGGTTAAAAATAAAAATTTATAAAAAAAAGAAAAGTCTTCTGATGGTGCAGTTTTCATTTGCTTCTGTGTGATCTCTAAGGAGAATGATGGGAATGTACTGACAAACTGACCACTGCCTTCTGAAAGTGTTATGTCAATGCTCAGTTAGACTTAGAGCATGGCATGTTGATCCTGGAGGATGGATGCAGTTCTTAACACCCATATCCACTCAGCTCTTTTGACATTTGTAAAACAAGTCAGTGATAAATGCATCATATCTAAGGATTTAAATTTGTAAATCTCAAAACATAAATTATACAGGCATCTGAGTTTTATTTATTTATTCTGCAGCATTGGTACAGTAATTATTATTCATATCATGAACAATGACTCAGGTTTTTATTGCTTTTCCTTTCATCATACTAGTGAACTCCACATCCTTGTAAAATAAATATGAACGTTGCTTCTGTCTGAAGATCTGTGATTCTAACTACCGTATTTTCCGGCATATAAGACAACTTTCTAAACCCTGAAAATCTTCTCAAAAGTCAGGGATCGTCTTATACGCCCAGTCGTCTTATACGCTGGAATATACGGTAGCTGTATGTATTGTGATTTTCATTTTCATTTGCTCTATTGCTTTATACTTCTTTCCCTGTACCTTCTTAAAACTCATTTCAATAACCGTACAAGTATTTTTGTTCTAACAAAATAATACTGTCTGCTTTTGAACATGGTAATTATTTTGCTTCCTGCCTGTTAAATTCTTCACCTCCTTTATGGCCATGGGTGAAGTTAAAAGACACAGTTACTATTTTTCCTTCCTTCCCAATTATTATAGAGATTTGACCTGGTGAGAGGATTTGCTGCTTTGGCACTTTATAAGTTATCTTCCAGCTTTTATTATTTACAGAGGGTGTGTTTGCACCACATGCCTGTTGATCTGCCTGACAGCCATGCTGCTTGTTTTCCCCCTCTTTGCCAGAAGTCAAGTTGTGAACGGTACTAATTCTTTGCTGACTGTCTGAGAATAACCAAAAGTTGTGGTCTCTTTATTTCCATTTTAAATCTAGAAAATTAAATAATGATCAACTCCCTAAAAATGATTTTCTTTTAATCAAGGAATATTAAAATAATTTGTGTCCACACAAGAACGTCCTCTTTGGATCCACCTGTATGACTTCTCCAACCTACTGTTTTTGGGATTTGATGCGAATGAAGCTTCCAGAATTTCCAGCTAGCGTGGCCATGTTTGGATAGTTTACAATGGCTTGCAGAAACTCAGTGCATCCATGCTTTAAACCTTGGCACATGAATTTTATATGAAGATTCTTCCATATAGTTTGTGATAAATTTTAACCTATGCTGTAGCTTTATATATATTGCTTACTTTTTTAAAATTTCGTCCAGCCATTTCATAGATGTTTTCACATGACCACCTTTAAGGAAGCTTCTCTGTTCCAGTCCTGCTTCACTAGCAAAGTTGTATCTTCTGCTTCTAGATTGTTCTCTGGCTTTCTCAAGGATGCCTACTCTCCATTCATGAAATAATATATATATGTTTAACAAAAATATGGAACAGCAAAAAGCTATGAGGAACCCTAAACTTAAAAATAAATTTATTGAAACATGGTCATCTTTCCTCAGCAATATTAACTAAAGTTTTTCCTAACAGATTCCCCATACTCTGGATGTATTTTCTTATGTGTCAGTATTCTGAAGTTTCATTCATATTTAATTTTTGTCTTGATTTTTTTTGTGTATTCAGTAAAAAGTAGTATACGTATAAAAATGTACATGGGTACTCACAGCCCCAAATAAGGTAAGTTTCAGTGGTCCTTCTCTGGGAAGTGCCACCTTTAGAGAGGAGATAGGTGGCAATCAGAGGACCAGTTATCCCAATCAGTACCATAGTGTATGAGTAGTTGATTCTTCATTTTCCCAGGGTTAGAGAAAGTTTTTTTAAAATTACTCAGGCCATTTAAATTTCATTTTATTTTGCTGATTTCCTCTATAAAACAATCATGAAAGTTGTTCATTTTATGTAATAGACTCTGTTATAATTCATAACTGACGCTGGCCTATTTCTCCAAACCCATGCTCACAAATGGTACTAAGTGTATACTTTTTAGTTGAAAATTTGAATGGATAAATGTACTCTGAATATCTTTGAAACTTAAAAGCATACCCCTGCAAAGTTTTATAGTGTGTAGCAATACTGTAAGGCATTGGTCACAGGAAATTAATAACCCTATTGTGGATAAAGATTGCAGAAGATTCCTGCTGATTGTATTTGACAAGCTGATGTAAAAACTATTAGATGCTGATTTAGATCTTAGCTAAAAAAAAAAAACAAAAGTGAGTTTTCTCAGAAACAAAGGGTTTATTTTAATTCTTCTAACAATCTCTCTTCCTATACCTTCTTTCTTTTCTTTCCTTTAGGTGTGGCTTATCAAACCAGAGGCCGTCCTCTGTAAACTCCCACACAGGGGTTGAAATGTCATATGCCAGTATGACTATTAGCACAGATGTGCACACTTCAGAGCTCGGCAGTCAAAGAAGAGGAAGAGAGAAACAAAATGTTTAGAGTCAGTGACGAGACTGCTTGCATGACTAACGCCTTAAAGAGTGCCTTCAGTTTTTGAAGTTGAAGAATAAGTAAACAGAAACAAGGATTACATATTATATTCCAATTCTTTTTTCTTTTTAACCACTTGGGATTTTAGTCTTTGAATTGACGTGGCCACAAGCACTGGACAGCAATATGTGTCATGTCATTGTTACTTGTCGCTCAATGTTGTGGACACTTTTGAGTATTGTTGTGGCATTTGCAGAGCTTATAGCCTTCATGAGTGCGGATTGGCTGATTGGCAAGGCCCAGCCTGGAAGTTTTCAGGACACAGACAGCAGAAGGTCAGGATCAGTGGAACCCTATCGTCCAACCTTGGGGATCTATGGACGTTGCACCAGAATAGAGCACTTCCAGTCTTCCATGCCTGATACATCTTGTGGCCCCTATGCAGATAACTTCAGTGAGATTGCCAGTGGGTTTTGGCAAGCTACTGCTATTTTTCTTGCTGTGGGGATCTTGATACTCTGTGCAGTTGCATTTGTTTCTGTTTTCACGATGTGTGTACAGAGTATTATGAAGAAAAGTATTTTTAATGTCTGTGGGCTGCTACAAGGAATTGCAGGTAGGTGTGACAAAAAGAGAAGCTCTTACATATGTTTGTAATAAGTGGATTTGGAACACTCACATTTAGATTTTATTTTTGTAAATCCTTTTCTCATGTTATAGCTAACTGACTCAAAGAAATGTTATTGCTGTTTCCAAATTAAAGATGATTCAACTAGTGGCACCAGCTGCCCAGAATTGTCTTATCTTGAAAAGCAAGACAGGCTTGGATCTGGTGAGTACGTAAATGGGAGGCCACCAGGAAATCCCAGGGCTTAGACTATTTCAAAATAGCAAATTATATTTCAGAAGAAGACAGTCACTTCTGTGTTTCTGCCAAGAAAACTACATGCATATGGTCATGAAGTCACCATAAGTCAACCTAAACTCATAAACACTTTACTTTTTTTTTTTAAAGTCAGGTAGGAATGTTTATTCAGATTTATCAGTGGAAAAGGAAGAGGGCACATTTCCTGATTGCTCAAGATCCTGAAGAAGAAACATTGTAAGAAGGGAATATTAATAGAAAAACAAGTCCGTTTTTATATATTGGTGTTCTTCAGTTAAATTGCCTCAATTTTGTGGACCCCATTCCCTGTTTTTCTCAGAGCAAGTCAGGGTGTAGGATGACTTGCTGCCAACTTTAAGAAACTTTAGACTTATATGTTCCTTCTTTTTCACTATAGTTTTCGTCCCTACTTTCTGATAAATTCATACTTTGCTGGAACATTTAAATCAGCCAGCTGTGGTTTACATATAAGAACTCTCTTTGTTTCTAAGCCCTGATTGCAGAGTTAGTATAATTACACCATGATTTTAGTTGGTTTAACCAAAATAATAAATATGATTTTGCCTCAGGCCAGAAACAGATGGAATGAATCATTCAGGAGTGGGCGGGGATGGAGGAAATGAGATGGAGGGGGATGAATTTTAGACTCTTTAGTATTCGCATAATGATAAACCATGGTTCTTGTACAGTCTCTAGGATAGGCCACTTCCGGGCCTTGAGCTGCTTGGAACCAGACTGCAGAAATCATAGGCGAGTACGCGCATGCCCACTTACATGAGCAACAGGCAAGCGTGTGTGCACACTCTCCATTAGTGCAAGCGGTGAGCACATGTGCCCATTTTTTGTGCAAATGGAGCTGTATACTTGCACACTTGCCCACTACTCAAGTAGAACCATCATCCCTCCCTCCACACCGCTGGGCCACAAAGCCGGAAAGTTTGGAGAACTCTGCTCTAGGAGACAATTGCAAACTGGCATGGATCAGAGACAATAATCTATTGCTGTATAGTAATTTTAAAAAGATTCATTAGTGGAAATCACAATAGGATCTGAAAGTACAGCAGTCTGTAGATGGAAATTTTAAAATTTGGCTCCTTTGCAACTTATATTATGTCAGCAATCTTGCAGTGATTCTTTAGTCAGACCAATGGTAATGTAAATGGGTGACTGTTGAAGTCTAGCTGATGACATATAACAACAGGTTGTAGTGTGCTAAATTGTGATGCTTGCACGTTTCAAATTGTCAATATTGTAAAAATATTTCCTCATATTTACATTGAAGTTTAGTGTTATATCTATACAGAGATTGCTAATGAATTCTGTTTTTCTGAGGTTTTTCAGTGAAAAACTAGGCTGAAATAGAATTGGAAAATTTATAGCTCAGTATATTGACGGAACCCACTTGTTGTCTTTGTATTCTGTGAGCTGGGCCATCACATTAACTCATAATGTAGTCAATCTATTGTATATAAAATGGTAGATGATACAACTACTATGACTCCTAGCCTATGTTTAGGTTTTACTGCATTGTAAGAAATCAGCTATAGTGTTGTAGACCTCTCTCCATGCAATTACTCCATTCACCTGCAACCGGTTTATATCACAGTATGTGGCTTTTGGCATTTATCTTTCAACTGAATACAAAAGGGCAGCTTGATTACTTTTGTGAAATACTGATAATCACACAAGACCCACATGGCAATGGGAAATAGCCGTGTTTGAATTATTAAAGAGAGGGAGAATGGCTTTATGAAATTTCCACTTCTTTAATCTTAGCCAAATTATGTCCTACCATTTAAAAACAGTCACCAGTAGGTGATTGGCCAAAAAATCATCAGAATCTACTTCTGCAAAAAAAAAAAAAAATTTCATAGGAAGACCAATCCCTCAAAAAGAGGATCTCCCAATTATTTTCTTTCCTACTTCCTAAATTTTTTCTTTGACTACTCAAGCCTGTTTCCTCCTCAAAGGAGAAAATGTCTTCAGATGGCTGCAGAGATCCTGAGAAAAGCAGCAAAGAAATCAGGAAAGACGCCAAATGGTAGAGAAATGTTTCATAAATACTGGAACTAAATTGAAATACTGTAATACCCAAATTAAACAAATATTTGAGGCATTAACTCTGCAGTATCAGGCAACTCTTTATACATAGAATTAGGACTAAATGAGAGCAGGAAAAGTGAAAAGTTGTTTGCAATTTAAGGAGAATAAACAACCAGAAAGGCAATACACATAGTCCTTGACTTACAACAAGAATTGAGAATTTCTATTGCTAAGAAAGACAGTTAAGTGAGTTGTGTCCCATTTTAGGATTTTTTTTGCCACGGTTGTTAAGCAAACCACTGCAGTTGTTAAATATATCATGATGTTAAGCGAACTCAACTGTCCCCATTGACTTGTCAACATCTGGGAAGTTTACAAATTGTGATCACATGACCCCTGGATAGTGCAATTGTCATAAATACATGCCAGTTGCCAAACACCCAAATTTTGATCATATGACCATGGGGATATTGCAATGGTCGTAAGCATGAAAACTGGTCATAAGTCACTTTTTTAGTCCCATTGTAACTTTGAATAGTCACTAAACAAATGGTTGTTAAATCAAGGATTATCTCTACTAATAGCTTGCAGTCACAAGGCCAACCAACATCCACACTATATCATCAGGTAGCATTGTTGGGGCTTTCAAAAACAGTGGGAAGATCTTTTCAGGCCCAGGAATGTCTTATTTATTCAAAATATTTCTCAAGTATTTCATTAAGTTGGATTTCAGAGCAATTTGCAAAGGTGTAAGTAAAATTAATCAACCTAATAGGAATGCAGTGCAATAAACATGAGCAGCCGTTAGAATAAACAAGAACAAAGTGAATCTCTTAAACATCACAGGGAAGTAGAAGCATCTCTGCTGTACCACATGCTTTGGCAGTAAATCCCAAAATAATTGTGCTATCAGTATCATATTTGCTTCTTTGGGGCGTTTGGTTCCCAATCATGCAGTCATGAATTCTTGATTATTGGAAGGAATCTAACCACATTTGCAGGTGTGAATTCTAAGCCAAGGGTTGCTTGAACATAGTTCATTAAATAAACCATAATTGGTTGGTTTCACACAACTCCTGTCTTTGAACTCCTGTCCTAAGCAGGAGTTGGACTAGAGCAGATACCTTTTGGGCACCAGGGACCGGTAGAGAGAAGTTTTTCTGCGGACTGGAGGGGACGTGGTTTTGTGTGCTGCCTGCATTCCGCGGATGGGGCTTTGCTTGTTTGTGCAGCCCGGTTGCTGGCATGCCACGGCCCGGTACCGGTACACAGACCTGGGGTTGGGGACCCCTGGACTAGAAGATGTCCAAGGTTTCTTCCAATTCTGTGATTCTCTGAACTTGCTAAGTTAAACAAATCATGCCCTTCCCCCTTGTGACTTAATAGTTTTACAAATAAAAGTGGGATTTGTATATTCTTCCTCTCTTAGCTTCTTTTTCTTCCTCTGTTGCTGTCAATATCCCCTTAAAGTAGTCTTCCCCAACTTTAGTGCTTCCCATAAGGTTGCATCATTGGGCACAACAACACATAATTCCTTAATCTCACAACACATGGACAGTCCCAACCTCAGTTTCAATTGGGAAACTGAATCTCCTAGGTAAGAATCAGGAAAAAATCACGCCCCCATCAAAACTGGCAAGACAAGCTACTGTATATAAAGAGGAAACAAAACCGACACTGTGAATATCCCAAGCTCAGTGGCCATACAGGTTTTTCAGTGGTATGTGGGGTCAATATTCTAAAAAGTAGGCAGGGATGGGTGAAACTAAGTCTAATATAATTTTAATTGGACTACAATGATGACATTAATTAAATCAGTTAATGTAAATAGTACGCCATGTATTTAATAATTTTCCTCTCTTGCTATGAAAAATACCATTTATCAACAGTATTTTGTTTTGGAGGTGACCTAAAACATTTGGGAAGAGAACCAATTCTATATACCTCCATTCTGATGCTTTTATTGACGATAAAAGTCACCCTCCCATCGTTTTATTTCATCAGTGTAACATGGATTAGGCTTGTGTTAATATTTTCCATATGGGTACATTCTTGCTCTCTGAAATTTGAACAGCGGGTTGTGGCTTAGCTTATATTCTGTAATTGAATCATGCAAGTTTGGATGGACTGGTCCTTGTGGCATTTTTGGAGAGAGTTCAAATACTACCCAGGACAGTTTTTCATCCAAGAGATCTTCTGAAATGAAAACTTGCAGGAAAATTGGTCTACCATTTAAGCTGTCTGTTTGGAATGTGACTTTCCAAATCAGACAATGTGATTGTCTGGATTTGTTTTCTCATTTTGTCTCTCATAGTTGAGGTCTACCTATGATGACAATTACAGGCCTCTCTCATCTTTTTAAGTGGGAGAACTTGCACAATTGGTGGCTGACTAAATACTTTTTTGCCCCACTGTATTGATATTCAAAATGCAAACTGATTTTTTTTATTAATAATATTTGAGCTGTAATAACTGGCAAACCCTGATATAGCACTTAAAAATAAGGAACAACAGGGTAGACAACTGACAATCTGTCTTGTGATTTTTACGCTATTCCTGATTCACTCTGTGTGGGTTTTTGTGGAGAACAAAGGAAACATTACACTCAGCAATTCAGGGTAACTGCTGTAAAGCAAATGAATTAGGAAATAGTGTGGAAAGTCCCACTGCTGCCAATCATCTTGTGG